ATGCACCACGCGGTTATGCCGACGCCGCTCAAGCCGGAAACGGGCGCCTAAGAGCTGCGCTTGAGAAAACATCCCCATTAAAAGACAAGTATGGGTGTTGTAATAGATATCGCCAGGAAAGCAAGAACTGCCAAATTAACTTATTGTTTTTAGAGACATATTGAGCTTGGTTAATTCCCGAGCGAATTGAGCAACGAGAACGACGGTGTATTTGCTTTCTTTTTATATTAGAATGCGAGCACGTTGGTGGGGCGGTGTCATTTTACTTATGGCGATCATATCAGATCAGGGTCCAAAGTAGTCATATAAACAAATCAAATCTAAAATGTCACTGGCAAAACTTAGCTTACACAAGGCATAGGGTACGATGTCTCTACTCATTCGAAATTCAAATCGTTCGACCCCCCCTCCTCCAGTTCAGCGTTGGCCCTCGACCTTCTCACTGTGGGCTATCTGGCCCCCATGGTCAGTGAGTTTGATACCACTGTCCTAGAGGTTGTCCTAGAGGTCGTCCTTGAGGTCGCCCTAGATGTCGCTCTAAAGGTCGTTCTAGACGTCATCTTTGACGTCGTCCTAGGCGACATCCTTTAGGTTGTCCTAGAGGTCGTCCTTGAGGACGTCATAGAGGTCGTCCTAAACGTCGTATTTGATGTCGCTCTCTAGGACGTCGTCCTAGCAAGCAGATAAATCCGTGCCGCGCATACACGGAGCGGCAGTAAGCACACATTCACAATTGCGACCAAGCTACGAAACAATTATCGATTTGAGTTGAGCTGGTTGGTACACTCTAAAGAAATGCCTGTGCGTCTACTTACCCGCAAAACACTCCAAGAGCCAATCTCAGATCTACGAAGTTAGCTCAGCCGAATGATGAGGCGGAACATTCGTTTAGACCTAGAAATGCAGTCTGCGCTGTGGCATTGCGCAATGCAAAGCGTCATGCTTGCATTCCATAACGCCACAGCGCAGACTGCATTTTTTGGTCTAAAGAGTTGTTCCGCCTCATCATTCGCTGAGCTGATTTCATATATCGCAGAGATTGGCTCTTGGAGTGTTTTGCTGGTAAGTAGACGCGCAGGCATTTTTAGAGTGTACAACTAACTGTACATGGTCAATGATGGTGGCAAAACAGCTTGAACAATAAAGGATTACGTGGAGACAGAAGATTAAACGATTGCACAGTGACGAAGAAATCACTCAATTTCGAAGTGGCGAGCTGCAGTAACGCTAACGTCAATGATTGCGTCGTGAAGCATTCATAAAATAGTTTTCACTCAAAATTGGCGTCGTCGTATTCACAGTGAGCTGCCTTGTTACTCTCACGACGAATACTATCGCAATTCATAGACAACCAACAATAGTGGTTTCTGCAGCCAATGTTTGTTCCATTTTGTTTTTAAGCGCAGCTGGCGAAGTCTTGCGAAGCGTCTCGGATCCTCTCTCCTGCCTCTTCTCTTTTCTTTTCATTTCTTTTTCTACAGTTCCGTTGTGTGGCCGGCGGAGCTAGCGGCGCCAGGGCTTCGCAGCCGGCCAAATCCCTTCGGCCGTGATACGCTTCGCTTTCAAGGCTAAATCAAAGTTAGCTCGAGTAAGAGTGCCATTCTGCATTAAAGTCAGCCCTCATTTTGGCACCAAAAATGGTAAAACGTCACGCTCAGTTTTGGGTCTGAACAGATTATCAGCCTCTTCATTCGTAAATTGCAGCGACTCGGGCTTTGCGGGAAAGCAGACGCTCCAGATGTCTTAGAGGCTGTGTTTCAAATCTTACCCAAATGGATCTGAGTTACTCCGGCGGGTCGTGTCTCGTGACAACACAGATTTAAAAGCGCTTAACGCGGGTAGGTTTTCGGGTGCCAAGGTACGAAACCCATACCCTGGAGAAAGATCGAGTAAATTTTGGAACACGGCCCGAGTGACACTCTGAACCCTTTATGTCTTTGAAACTACGTGTTTTGTAAAGGAAATACCCTACGAAATAATGTTAAAGGACAAGTCGTGTCCGTTGCCTGCAGATACGATACGCAAACCTCAGTGATGGCATGCGTGGCTTTTCTCTTGGCGAAGCATCCAGATGTACAAGATCGAATCAGGAGTGAAGTGACCTCAACGATCGACAAACACGTGAACAGTTCTTTGCTTATCGACATCAGAAGAATAAACTGAAAAAAAAAAAGAAAACACCGAGATGGTTATGCTAACGTTTAATCCTCGTAATTAACACGCTTTCAGGGGTGCATGGACATCGACAGCATCCTCAAGAATCGATACATGGAACAGGTGATCCTGGAAGCCCTCCGGCTATATCCGCCAGTGATCAGGTCGTGTAAACTCTTGTTGCTCGTAATCGACCCTCTTCAAATACCCCTCAAGCAACATTGGCGGTCACCATTTCTTGGGCGAGAGGCGTCTGGTTGGATCCGAATCCTGACCGAACGCTGACCGAGCACTCGTTCTCGATAAGAGCTGAACCGGAACCGCGTCGGACGCTGACTCCGCCTTCGTGTCTTATACGCACTGAGAATGCCTGCAGAAATAATGGCGAGTTCGGATAATATACCCTTTTTTCGAAATTTCATCATGATGCATAGATTATGCGCAGCCGCCATTAGTTGGTTATGCACGCGTGAGCACGCATGGCACACGAGCGCTTCGTCGGCATCCGGAGTGTACTCGGATCGAAACGCATTCCACACGAGTGCTGCGTCAGAGCACGGCGAAACCTCGGAACCAGTCACTGGCTTCACGCCAGAAGCGATGAGACCAACTAATGGCGGCTGCGCATAATCTATGCATCCTTTCACAAAATCTCGGAAAGGGTCTATTCGGCGCAGCAGCTATACTATAGTCGGTTACAAGTCAAGAAGGTAGGAGAAGCTCCTCCCACAAGCGTGATGCGCCCGTTTCAAATCCCTCCGCAGTCGAAAGAAGAGTTCACTGGAAACGCTCCTTGTTCCGCTTCAGTGGATTCCAACTTGTCTCCGACCCCACTTTTTAAGAAAGCGACCTTTGTATTAATCGGAGGGGGAACCGAGCCCCTGAAAGCAGCCTTTGTATCCATCGGGGGGGAAGCTAATCCCCGAAGGTCGTATTTGTTTCCGTCGCTGGGGGAGAACTCTAATCTCCCTTTCGTGCCTTCCACAATGCTAAGTCAAAGTCGAAAGATAAAGCAAATATGTACAGAAAGGCAAGACCCTCCTCGCGCGTTGGCCGCGACGTCACGGAAGCGGTGGAACGCTATTGGATGCCGAGGTGGCGGAGGAATATCTGATTCCCTTTGAGGGGCATTTGCCGCTACCTTCTTGACCTGTAACTGACTATAGATGACATACACACCTTTGGAAAACGCCCAATTTATTTCGTAGTTTCACAGCTTCGAAAATGTCTCTGTGTTTCTACAAACCGTGATAGCGGAGTGAAAGGAGCTCAAGTTATAAGTAATAAATGGAAACAAGGCCTCGCTTACATCACACCATGTACTATCGCGCATAATACGAGCTGTAACAGTTCTTTGTCCTTTTTTGACGTGCTTGCCAGTTTATAAAAAAAATACTCTTCTTTAAACGTATTTTGGAGGAACGCGATGGAACGTGAAGCTTAAGTCCCATTCTTTGAACTCAGGGGCATATGAGAGACAATGGAAGGTTTGTGGGGATTGCTGACTCAAAAAGAGGCCGGATTCGTTGTCGCAGGTAAAATTCCACGGGGTTACAACGCGTGACAGACTTAACAAAAACACAGCATCTGCGATTTTGTTTGTCTGTTTTAAACTCGGAAACTGATAGGTCCCACTTTTCACACCCTAAATTGATTGCAAGACCGACCACTTGACACCCCCGTAGCATTTATTTTTATCGGCAGGGCTTTAAAGCTCCGTCCGTTTTCTGAGTTACACAAAATGAACACACTTTCGGAATATCCAGGATTTACTTTTCCCGGCATGCTCTTTATTGTCTCTAGATTTGAGACAGCTATTGAGAAAGCGGCAAATGAAGGTAATGCCAAAACAAACATTTAAATGTGGTAAGGTGGTGGTTTGGGTCAGTTGGTGTTTGTTGGTCGTCGTTGGTCGTCGTTGGTAGTCGTTGTTTCACTCAAGCTTTTAACACGTCGGGAACGAGTTTACTGCCCCGATATTACTTGACGCCGCGTCTTCGGTGTTGCCAGTATCAGACCAACTGTGAAACTTAATAACTTTGGGATTTTGGATTACTGGTTTATATGTATATATTAATGTTTCAAACCATGTTTTTGAAGCGAATAATTGATTATTAAAATTTCGCCATAGTTATAAAAAAAAATATTTAAAATGAGGATCCCTTGTTCGTGCAAACTGTGTCGCACCTCACAGCGTACTTAATGACCATAATTTTCTGTCGGTTCTAGTGTGAAAAGCAAAAACGCATTTGCAGCATGTTGCACTCTCCGGTGATAAAGATCGGTCGCTATGTCGACTTCTGGATTGCGCCTCAGCCGTCCTTTGCCTGTAGCCCCCATGAATCCGTGAAGGCTGAGCCTGGCAAGCTGGGCACTATCTCATACAATCCGGACAGGGCACACGTTAGAACGGGATGGGATAGGCACGGCAATGTGGCGGCTTTCTCTAACGATTAGCCGACTCTTAAGCTAGAAATAGTAGGCTACCATTTAAATGTTGAGCATACTCGCAAATGTAATGCTTATATAAAATAAATTATGCGTACTATCGTATTTATATAATGTAACGTACTTATATGCAACGTCAACATGATTGCAAAGTAGTAAACATGCTCATAGACAATTAATAAGCACTAAATATCTGAAGTAGCCGGTATTAAAATATTTTTAGTAAATTAGAAGTATTCGAATCACCAAGTTCAACTCCCTTAACGCAAATGGAACTGTTGAATGAAAGCAGAACCTATCCTTCTCGGTCGGTCGTTCGACGCGACAGAGATGACCTTAATTACTTTACGGTTTTCTTAAATTACCCTAACCCCTGTTCATTTAACAGCTTTAACACCAGAAAATGTAAAGAGGATCGCGTATATAATGGTCTCAAGATTCCAGCCGAAATGGATGTATTGATTCCCGTGTATCAACTTCACTACGACGCCGAGTTGTGGGACGATCCTTGGAAATTTGACCCGGAGAGGTACACAGTCCACTTTCTAAAATTCAGTTGCCATAAATGCGCAGAAATTTTCCCGAGCAAAAACTTTCTTGAAGCCGATTCTTATAGGCCCAAAACGATTAATTATTTTTCAAATGTTTTTTTTTATAGTTTGCGGTAGGATAAAAAAACATTCGTCAATTTGGTCACGTCGCCTGAACGTGGAGCGGTTTGCACTTTAGAATACTATCTTCTAATTAAAGGGGCACTGAAGTGGATCTTGAAAGTGTCTTTTCATGGCGCAGACTGAAATAATATGTATTCTAGAAAAATGAATAATTTTAACCAAACAGGGTGAAAATGAATGATTATAACTAGGATTCCGTGTTTTCGGGTAAATCCGAAAAAATTCGAAAAACTTCGAATTTTGAGGTAACAAACACAAAATAAAAAGCAAAATAGACTATGTTTTACAAAGAAACTTCATAGGAGCGCAAGATCAAGAGCAGATGCAACTTCAGTTTCCTATGGAATCTCGAAATACTGGCAAAAGTGATTTGCCTTTTAGCTCGTCAAGGTTCCTTCAAGACAATAAATAGGTCATGGTACCCGAACTTAATTTATTTTAGGTTTGAGCGTGTAAAAATTGGGACTACTAAAATAAACTCTAAATTTTAAGCTTTAATAAACTCTGATAAACTCCGAAATGTCAGTGAAAGTAAACTCTGAAAAATGCCCCTTCGAATTTTACGAGAAATAAACTCCGAAAACATAGAATCTTATAGTTATTACCAACGCGACGAAACATCGCGACACTCCCCTTTGCCTTAATCATCCCATGAAATCAAAAAATTGCAAGCATATGAGGTCTTTTTTTCTCTCTTAAAAGCGTGACCGAAATTATCTCAGATAATCGTGACGCTAAAGGCCCGTTCACACTCTTGCGACTGCTTGCGACCTCTTAAACCTGGGTTCCTTAAAACTTCTTAAACCAGAGAACACACTGGCGCCATCTATTGGGAAGCAGTGTAAACTCGGCGGTCCGGCATATTTTTTTTTTATTTCTCGCGCAATATCCTTTCTTTTTTGGCTCGAAAAACTTTTGTCAATGTTATAAACGAGCCCTTCTATGGGTATTACGCACATTTGACCTCGTAAATCCCGCAAAACCTTCGCTTTTGTGAAATGCAGTTCTAGGGTCACCGCATAGATGGCGCCACAATGTCAGTGTGTCCCCTCATTCTAGAAACATTTAAGAAGTTGTAAGAGATCTCGTCTCTCTCAGTCGTACTCGGTCGCAAGAGTGTGAACGGGCCTTTAGTTTCTTTTTAAGTAATAAAAAAACCTCGCATGAGTTCAGTTTTTGATTTCATGAATGCTTACTGTGCGCGTAAGTTGAGTTCGCGACATAGAAAGGACGATCTGTAAATTAACTTTAGTGTTTTTTTAAGGTCTCTCCTGTAAGTTTCGACCGATAACTGGAAAATGTATAATCCCGCTAATGTTTGAAATGATTGAAATAAAAACAGAACTTCCAGACTTGTGAGTAAACTCCCCCCCCCCCTCCCCCGTTTGCTGGTCTCTGTCTTCTTCTAACTGCTACAGGTTTGGTGTTGACAAGGGAAGAGCTTTCAATCCCATGGCATTCCAAGCCTTCGGCAATGGTCCACGGAACTGCATAGGCAAGCGCTTCACCCAGCAGCAGTTAAAACTGGCATTCGCCAAGATCTTGGCAAAATACAAGATCGTTCCCGATGATAGATATTTGGAGGTACGGAAATGTTGTATGTATATATACTATTTGCCTTCCAGAGGTTATAGACCAGCTGGCGTATCTGCTAAAATTGACCTTTTTCGAGTAACGTCTCAGTGGGCGGACTAACGCGCACATGTCAATTAGCGATTTTTTGGGTGATTTGCTCGTCAATTATTATTACGTCTTAATATGTGTGCCCTTATGCCCGTCGCAATCAATAACGTCAATCAAAAAGGAATTATATAGGGGGTATTCACTGACCCCCATATTTGAGGTCACTGTTTAGAGCGCGTGCTCAGAGCGAGCTCGCGTTAATAGGCTGCCAAGACCGGCAATCTTGATGGTGCGGGGTGCACTTTACAAAATAACTGTGGAAGCTCGCCGTCAGCACGTGCTCAGCATTAGCGCACACAGATATGGCCGCCAGTGAATACACCCTATAGTCACCGACAACCGAAGAAAAGCAGGTGTGTGTGTCTCATTATGTTCACGCCTCTTGCTTCGTGATTGGTTGTTTGAAGTTCTTATCGGCCAACGGTGCAATCTCATTGGATGCGGAACGATAATGAGATACTCGGGATTGGCCACGCCCCACGTTTTTGAAGTTGCCGGTGGCTCTTAGTGGAGAGATGTTTTGGTGGTGCCCTTCTATGGTTCCCTCTCGTGGCGTCATTACCTTGCGAACGAGTTCGATGGTTTCTTGTAATTAGCATGGTGGAAGCTTGAAATCATTGCGCTCTGAAACCAACACTGCCAACACCGTTATAATTGAAGTTCTTACGTTACACGTATTTTTTCTCGATAAGAAAACCTTTGCCGACGTCATAGTCAGCATTCGGACAATCGTGGAAAGCCGATCACAGCGACCCTTTCGATCGCGCAAGTCGCGAATAGAGGGTACGCTTTGTACACGGTGCGAATGCATGCAATAAAACAGCACGATCACGAACGACATATTGCATTGCTCCTCAAAAAGAACATTTTTAAGGGAGGGAGGATTTTTATAGACAGTCTGTTACGCCGGTGGCCTCGAATTACTCCCTTCTGTTATATATAGGTAAGAAAATGCGTGTGCTAAGTAGTATCTCTATACTCTTGCGCACATCAGAAAGGAGATCGATAAATGTACAAGGTGTCTGAAAAACAATTCAGTGTTTTTTTTGTTTTTTTTTTTACCGCAAAAATGAACTTAGCATTGTCGAACACTCATTTTCCGCCGAAATGTAGCGCTTTAGGTTCGAACCAGAGGTCAAAGTTTCAGAACTAAGACCATCATCAAAATCAAAAGTTACGTGATTTCCTGAAAAATTTCAATGGGAAAATAGGGTACCGTTTTTCGCTCGTTTTCGGTAACTGGTGCCATTCAACTCCATCGATTGGATAGCTCCGTCAGCCGCCATTTCCCCCAGTGAAATGTTTAGAAAATCACGTAACTTTCGTATAACTGTTAGTTCTGAAAAGTTGGCATTTGGCTCGGAAAAACAGCTCAGAGCTTCGTTTGGGCGGAAAATGAGCGTTCGACAATGCGTAATTTATTTTTGTTGAGCAAAAAAAAGGAAAAAAGAAAAGACTCTGTACACTAGTTTGGTGGGACACCTTGTAGAACGACATTTTAGGAGGCAGTTATCTTTGACGACGCTAAGGCAAAGAAACCTAAATGTCTACTGGGAAAACTTGGATGCTTTTGTGCGTGAGCCTTTAAGCACACTTGGCATCAGAGAACGTACAGATAAAACTTCCGGAAAAATGGTCTAAGATGTCTTCACTCTCTTTTTCTTCTTACAGGAAGATCATCTCCAAATGGCATCTTCCTACGTCTTCTGCAAACCTCGGGGTGGAGTTTGGCTTAAGTTTCAGAAAATCTACAGCAACAACAGCGAAAAATAGAAGGGTGCAAGCAGAAAAAAATTACTGCCTCCCTGTAAGGATTACGAGCAGTAAATAATTACTAAAAAAAAATGCTATCCTACGTTTTTTGTCTTAAAAAGTCATCACACAAAGTAACTTCGAAAAGTATCAAGATACTTTATTCCACAGTTCGTAATAACTAAAAAAAGAAACGCTGGAAAGTCCATATTATATGCAACGCACACGTGATTTGTGTGTAACATTTGAATAATAAGCGAAACAATTGAGATAAGGGGAGAACTGGGCCAGTTGGTTGACGTTATACATGATGGGGAAAACAGCTCAGAAAACACGGACTACGAAGAGGAACACACACGACAGGACAGCATTGTCCTGTCGTGTGTGTTCCTCTTCGTAGTCTGTGTTTTCTGAGCTGTTTTCCCCATCATGTGAAACAAATGAGCCTTTCAGATATGCCTTCCTAGGCGTAAAAGTCCTAACTGGCTGAAAAGAAAGTTGACGCCACAATGTGATTTTTCAAAAAGACATCTTGCAAACTTTGGGGACCCAATGATCACGGTGTCGGTTACAGTTGGCTAACCCCGTTTCTCGACATTTTGTCATGAACAAATACAGTGCATGCATTTTCGAATATGTGACTTTGCTTAAATTTTAATATTGTAGGTATGCCTATGAATACAAATAGAATGGTGGGACACGTTTTATTGGTGCTCCCAACGTACCAGAGTTTGTGCGCAGGTAAACAAAGGAAGAATAAGTATACTGCAGGGCCGAGCAGCCTGTTCCATTGTCTCAATGTCCTTGGCTTCTTAGATTACCCGTTCCATGGGAGGGTAATGTTGCACTCTGGAGTTGTAGCCATGCTGTCAGAAAGGTATGAAACGCGGCTCGCCGTACTCTTAAAGGGATACTACAACGAAATTTCGGCGCTCATTTTTTGGTTTATATCTGTTCATAGGAGCAGCATCACATCGAACATACCAATATCTTGTTAAAAAAGTTACGAAAAAGAATTTTAAAACGAATTAAACGATTAGCAAAGACTCGAGCACCTGGTGGATGTCGCTAACGCCTCGCTTGTAATGCCCGTCAAAGAACCTTGACAGCTAGTGACGGAGATTATCTCGCCTACGGCCACGACGAGAGAAGGGGGGAAGGAGGAACTCCCCTCTTCCCGAGAATGCCTTTTGTGTGTCGCAGAAGTCGCTATTGTCCCCCTACAAGGTTATAGAAGATTAACCCGTCACTCCAAATTGTTACAAAAGCAGCCGTTTCGGTGGCTGGGACGACTAGGCCATCCTCTCAACGTCATCCTCGCCGTAGCTTTGCTCGTCCCGAGACGACCTACGTCACGATTGCGTTGGATGTCGCGTGGTCTCCGCTGGGCCTTCTCCGAGCGCTTGCCAGAGTGGGCCGTTTATAACGAAAAATACAGCCACCAGGCTCAAAATACAAACGTGCGATTCTCATTTACGGATATTGTGGATCATATTCAAACTATTTTTGAACACGACGGGAATATTTCAAATTTCGTTGAAGTATCCCTTTAAGGCCTGTTCACACAATTACGACCGAGTGAGACAAGACCTCTTTTTAGGCCTCTTGCGACGGCGTAAGACAAGACGCTGCTGCGGAGCAGGCCCTAAGTCGTCGAAAGAGGCTTTAAAACCGCTCTCGCCTCAGCCAGTCTCTCTCGGTGTGAACGAGCCTTTACTTCTCTCAAAGTCTAGGCAGGTCTCTATGGCCACTGAAGACTCGTGTTTCAGCGGGGACTTTCACGAAGGTGGAGGGGTGCAAAAAGTGAGCGCTGTCTTTATTTTCGTGCAGTGATGAGAAGCACTACATCGTCATTGAGGCGATCGAAATAAAAACCATGTCACTCCTCTCCATGGCCAAAGATGCCCCATAATGCAACGCGCGCAGTGTAGCATGCAGGGATTTTCGGAAGTAGTCTATTGTAAGACATTGTGGTGTCTTACGCGAATATTTTATAGGAGTCGCCAACAGCAATATATCTCCTTCATGTGCATTCTTCACTGTGGCAAGAGTGTCCTTCACCATCCCTACTGTCTATCTATACAATAATTTAGAAAAATATTGTTTCAGTTTCGTGAATACACGAGGGGCACCACATTTTCTGGAATATGTGGTGCCCCCCCCCCCTAGCGTCTGCTTTACGCATTGTGACGTTTAGGTGAAATTCTCCAAAAAGAGAGGACGAAGTTGACGTTGGTTTAACAGTTCGTGAATTCAGAACGCAGAGAAGGTGGAAGGAAAGCAAAACAGAATATGTGATGACCTTCTTTTCCGTTCGCTTAATTTTTGCGTGTGTTAACGATAAGAACGAATGAATTTGCCGCTACCAGGATATGCAAAGCGTTCGAGCCGGCACGAGCAGACATCCGAGCAGCCCAACAATTCCCTCGATACAGGTTCTCCTCGGATTCTCCGAAAAGCTCTATTGTTGTAAAACTAACAAAGAATTTCTTCGACGCCACAGGGGCTAACGTGAATTAAGCATAGTAATGTGGGTTCCCGTGGGGTCTGTAGGCCAGCACACCTTCAAGGTACGAGGGCGGGGAGAGGAAGTGTTCGGCGTCTGAGTACATGACTCTAACATGACCACCGAGAACATGACTATTCCGCGATACACTTGGAATACGATATAAAAAGACAACTGTGTTTTATATCATGTAAGAACTTGATGAATAGATTTTTCAGCGCTCACAAAGTCTAATATAATAGAGATCAAGAAATAGACTCGTATAAATATCTTAATTTTAATTTAAATAAATAAAAAAATAAACTTTACGTTTTCTGACAAATTTAAGACGTGTCCTTATCAACACGTGGATGCCGCTTTATGGCACAACACAATCTTTATGTATTATCGCAATGAAAAATTACGATATCTAATTCATTAAAAAAATCTCAGCGCGTCGAAATCACACAAGCATATCACAAATAATAAAGTTCAGACAAAACAGTGCATAGACTTGATTGGGGTGAGCAGTAGTCCACACGCCTGATAAACATTCCTCTGCTAGTCGACGTCCAAGATAGAAACACCAACTTCGAATGACAGCTTTAAATTGGACACTCCAGGCCAGGGCGTCAAATATATCATCCACGTTCAGTGACAATAGGTAATGGCGTATTGTCCTGAGGGCGCCACAGTCCGTCCAGTCGCCATTCTTGAGTCAAACACAGCTCCACGTAGGCTGCCCCTCTGTCACGAACGATAGGCGTATCTAAAATTGATCAACCTCCCCCTTCTACCCGTTCCGGATGTTAAAGGTGCGAAACACGAGATCCAAGACCGAAAGGACTGGCACTCGCATCCAGGAGTTCAGTTATTCTGGAACGATTGCGGTCCACTTCGCGATATTAGAACACACGTCCTCTCAGTGTTGAGGGTGCAGTTCCACGACGGGGGACTCAAATAATATTGCCGCGCGCGCCGCTAGCCAAGAAGGCAGCGCGGCCGTGGCCTAACGGTTATCGTGCCTGCTTCCCATGCGAAGTGCCAGGGTTCAATTCCTGGGAGCGACGCGTCTTTCGTTTATCCTTGCAATGGGGTGTTCTAGTAAATTCGAGAATCCTGTTGCCTGTTCGAGGTGCGAATGTGTTCCGTCGCCGAGCCTTCTAGGCCGATTGTTCCAGAAGCAAACGCGTGTAGCACATAAGGGGCTCTGCATGGCGATCCTCAGTCAGTCTCGCCCAGCGTTCGACTCTGCTGTTACGCCGACTTCGACGCCCGCGGCGCTCTGCGGTTATCTACTGTTACCTTTTTTTTTTATTTTTGGGCACAAGTTCGCCCCATTAAACATTTCAGTTTCCCCCAGTTATTCTTTGTTTACTCACCTGTTCCTTCGTGACAATATTCGTCGATGTAACCATCGATGGCCTCTGTCTCGGTGGAGGTCACGGCCGGCACAATAGATATCTGGAGCGTCTAATTTCCAGCAAAGCACTTTGAAGACCCAATCTTTGCAGACCACGGAAATTGCGTTTATGCCTGAAAAAGCAGCCTGCGCTGGGGCACTAGCTGAGCATGTAGCTCCATCATGCTTCTCAATGCCACAAAGTTGACATTTCTTTAGGTCTAAACATATTTTCAGCCTCGTTATTCACAGAGCTATCTCCAGAGACTGCTGCAAATGGTTCTTCCAAGTGCTTTGCGGAAAATAAGACGTTCCAGATTCGTATTTGGTCAGTCCGGAACGTTATGAAGGTATCTGAAGATGCTACAGTTCTGACCCGCCCTGTGTTATGCGCAGAAGGACCACGTGAAGACCATTAGTCCTGACGACTTCGTGTGCTTCGTAGGCAGACTTTAGGCGCTAACCTTGGACCTATAGAGATAAGGCTACGAGAAAATGTTTTTTTTTTTTTTTTTTTTGGGGGGGGGGGGGGGGGGGTGGGGGAAGGGGGGGGGGGGTCTTTTGAATCCGACCAGAAGTTGGCGCACAGAATTGACAACCAATTTTGTACGACCTGAACGGCTCGCCTAGTGGGGCCGTCAAAGTGGTGCAGCAGTAAACGAGGCCTGAGTATACGTAGGGCGGGATGATGCGATCGTTGATCTGGCTGGTGCTGGTGTTATACATGCACTACAGGCTCTTCGGCTTGTTCTCCTTCAAATTAGCGATATATATTCTTTTGTGGGTTCAATAATTTTCAGGAATTGTTTTTGATTAATAATAATGTATGTTGTAAATGTGCGCGGTAATGGCGATGCAAAGAGAATGGGCCGCTCCTGGTGCGATAGCATGCTTTAGAGACAACCTGAAAAAAGTTACTTTTACGCTTTTATTATTGATATGAAAGTAAAACATCGTCGTCTGTGATTGCCTGGCATTGTAAGAGCCCGTACCAATGCGACTTCTTATAACAGCTGGTCCTGCAAACAATGTAGACCCTCCACAGGAATACTGTTATGGTGAATTCTCCGCTCCTCTCAATATTCCACAGCATCGGGCGAAGCAGTGGTCTTAGAGACTGGGCAGTGAAAATCAAATCTGAGCTTGCTACGCCCGTAG